GTGTTATTCAATTTAACTGGTTCAAAAAAAACGACTTGTTGAGATTTGATTAAAAAACGACTTGTTGAGATTTGATAAAGGACGATGGAGGCAAATTTACAGCTTCTGTAGCCGTTGTCACAATCTGTGATGATGCACAGAATCACACCCAGTGTGAACAGTGTCACAGAGGGTCAACACAAACTGCAGCATTGTTCACTAAAATCGCACACCATTGATGTATTTAAAATATACATGGACACACTTCATAATATTGTGGACCATTAGGGAATACATTAAGCAAGTACTTTTACTTTTAATGCTTAGGTATTTTTAAAAGCAAGTACTTACTTACTTTTACTCAAATAAAAATGTTGATGTGGTGCTTTTACTTTTACTAGAGTACATTTTTGTCTGTTTATTTGTACTTTTACTTAAGTTCAGTGTTTGAGTACTTTCTCCACCACTGGAAAATATTCACATTTTTTTCTGTAGGAAGCATATTGTATCCTAAAAAAAACAAAACAAAAAAAAAAACCTTTGAAAAAATCCAATGTAAAAGTTGCAGAAAATGTAAAATAATGTTACATGGTTCTTATCACCAAACTGCAACATCAATCAACTTGATGCATCTTGGAAGCCAGAAAATGGACACCATTTAAAAAAACGGACTTTTGTTTTGTAAATAAAACTCCTCAATCAATGACACAAACCAACCAACATGCATTCCTATTGTTGGTAGTGAAAAAAAATACATATTTCAAGGTTTCAGATCCCATTCGTTACCTTATAATTCAGGGGGTCACTAGAAAAATGCGGATGATTGAATCTGTGCATTATTTCGATAGCTCTTCAAAGCACATAGACAGAAATTAAAAACGAGTCTGCTAACTACCTGACGTCAGCACGGTTAGCTGAAATTTATAGAAATGACAAAACAGGAGCAAATACGTGAACGCTCAGTTCAGTGTAACACAATCAGGTCACAGCAGTTTAGGGAGAAAATGGCAGCATTAGCTGAAGATATGTCC